AATACTGTTCCTGGATTAAGCCTCCATTTCTCATTTGTTTCTTTGTCAGGTAAAAGGACCAGGAATTGGGCTGCTTGGGATTTCCAAAGGGGGAGAACTTGGCCTTGCTATGGCCTCCTTCCTGAAGGGCGTCAAAGCTGCCGTGATCATCAATGGCTCTGTGGCTGCTGTTGGGAACACCATCTACTACAAGGATGAGACCATCCCCCCTGTGACTATCCTGAGAAATCGCATCAAAATGACCAAAGATGTGTCCTGGATGTCGTGGATGCTCTGTAGAGCCCTTTGGTAGAGGAGAAGAGCTTCATTCAGGAGAGCTCTGCCTGCTTGAACTTGTCTTACTTTCCAGGTTATCATCTAGTCTGATCCTGCCTGGTAAAGGTAGCACCCATGAACATGCTGTTGAGCATTGTCACAAACCGTGTTTATTGTGACATGGTAGGCAGCCAGGTTATAGGATTAGAATGAAATATTACAACTACAAAATAAAGCCAGACACCACGGCTCATATCTGTAATCCCAGCAGAGGTTGAAGAATTAATGCAGGTTGAAGGTCAGCCTGGGCTCCACAGTGACTGCCAGGACAGCCAGGACTACTTAGACAGACCTTGTCTTTAAAATAGTAATGAAAAATAAAGAAAAGAAAAAGAGCAATTTTAATTTCTTTTGTTCTGAAAGCTTTACTAACTCAAAAGGATTGGCTTTAAAATGTGTATTCATAGCATGCCTTACCAAATAATTTAACAAAACACTAAGTCCTAAATGAAGGCTACTAATTCAAAAAGCCTAAGTAAAACCGAAGAAGAAGGATGGTGATACATACACATCACAACCTGACTCTACTAGACAGTGTTGGGCCCAGAAGTCCTCCTGTTGTCAGGACAACTTCATCTTCCAAGCAGATGCCTGAAGACCAGAGTTTCCATAGGCTTGAAACTGAGCTATTTGAAATACAAGCATCAGTACCTCATCATCCAGCCGGGACTTGGGGCAGAACTGAGCTGGGAGAGGGGTCCTAGCAGGGGAGATAAGAGGGGAATGGAAAAGACCTGGGAGACAGGTTTATTTCATCAGTGATTCCACTGCCTGGCAATGTGGAAAATGCCAGTGCTACTCCTCCATTGTGTGGGTAACTCTTTCTTGGCAGGATGTAGCAGCTCCTGGAGTGGGCGTGGGGCAGTGGGCATATAGACCTAGAGGGGTTTGTTCCAACAGATGACTGGAAAGCCAGCGAACTCCAGCCAACAAATAGGAAAGAATTTCTCAGACCTCAGTTTACAACGAAGGAAATGGACCAAGTAGTTGAAGATACCCCACTGAACCCTCCGCTTCTGTGAATGCACTGGGAGTTCTGAAGCCTTGGTTGCCCGGGGACCACTCTGAGTAGCTAAGCAGCTTTGGAACCTACGGAACCAAGGAAGGTTTATGGCGCAAAGTCTTACATCTCTTTAAGACTACTGTGGGACACTGTGCCGCTTGGAAGGTAATTTCAAACCACTGCAGCATTAGAGCCAGAAGCCTTCATCAGCATTGGCTGCTGGAGGAGCAGTCAGGCTGAGGTCACTGAGGAGCCTGGAGTTGGGTAAAAGATCCACACAGATGGTCTACCAGACCTGAGATCTTGCTGTGGCTGGCAAGATTTGGAATCTGGAAGCTGAAGGCATTAGAGCAGGCTGTTTAGTGTCACTATAAATGAAAGAGGCAGCTCTCACCTCCAAGGAATAAAAGAGGTAGTTTATTCTGGAGTCAAATATTAGTGACCATAACCTGGGAATTTAGGTTTCTCCAAATACCATGTTCCAATGAGGTAGCAATTTCATGAAGGTTTTATAGGGGGGAAAAAGTCATAAATCAAGACACTTCAAGTACATTGGTGGAAACATAAGCTAGGAGGGTTACAGGAAATCTCTTTTGAAGGTCTAATCAGTTAATCAGCCTTGTAGAAGGCTCAGTGAACCAGGGAACTTCTTTCTAGGAACTTCTGTTCACAGTATTTTCTGGTGTGCTTGCTGGAGATGGCTGTAGCTATGTGATCCTGTGAGAAGTGGAAATCAGAGGTTCAGAAAGAAGGGAAGGAAATTTTATAGAGAAGGTAGAGGGGCAGTTTAGAACAAGCCAGATTAAGAACCTAGGGTTCCCAGATTCTGCTCTCCCCGTGAACCAAGCTTCCCTTATAACTGAAGCAAGAAACAGGAAACACAACACAAGGACAGAGGCCCCGACACTTCTCACTTAATGAGAAACAAGAATTCCGACACAAGTAACAACTGGTTAAGGCCTTTCCTCCTTCCCACCTGTAAACCTACAATTTTCTTCAAATCTCACCAGAAACCCCTCTCACGGGGAAAGGGCATGCCCTAAACCCCTGTGCAGCCCTATGTTAGAAGGTGGTTAGAGAGCATGGTTTGTTTGGGAAGGGAAGCTGTAGTGATTTGAACGAGAGTAACCCACTGTAGGTTCATATGCTTGAATACTTTGTCCCCAGTTGGTGGAACTGTTTGGGAAGGATTTGGAGGTGTGGCTTTGTGGGAGGAGGTATGTCACTGGGGGTGGACATCCCCAATGTGTCTTTCTACTTCCAGTGTATACCATTACATTTGAGAAGTGAGCTTTCACCTGCTGTTCAGCCAACATGCCTGCTGTGTCTACCATGATGTCCTACCATGACTGACCCAACCCTCTGAAACCATAAGCCCAACTGTTTCCTTTTATGAGTTTGCCATAATGAGAAAAGTAACTAATGCAGAAGCTAAGACCAATTACCCTTTAGAATAAGCTTTATCAAGAGTAACTTGGACCAGAGGGGTAGAGATGATAAGGCCTTGAAGTGGGAGAGTAGACAGGAGAAATACAACACCATTATAGAGAGCACGGTAGAGACTCGGAGAGATAGATCGTTCCCTTCTACACCGGGAGAGGGGCTATATTTGGAGAGAGCCTCATGCAGTGAAACAGGATTTGGAGATAGCAGCTAAGTGTAAGCTTGATAGGAGTCCTGAAAGGAGGGAGAGGCCCTAAGGAACAAAGGAAATTCCTTCTTTTTATAGGTTTTCAAGGAGTAGCAGGAAGTTCTGTACCATATAATTTAGTCTAGCCTAAGCTACATGCCAAGGAGCAAGCATTAGATGGGACCATCTTTTGTTTGTTTTTTGAGACAGGGTTTCTCTGTGTAGCCTTGGTTGCCTGAACTCTTTGTAGACCAGGCTGGCCTCAAACTCACAGAGATCTGCCTGCCTCTGCCTCCCTAGTGTGGGATTACAGGTGTGGACCACAGAGCCTGGCTAGGTGGGAGCATCTTAAAGCTGTGAGGGGAAAAGGCTTTGAAGCCACAGCACAGCAAGGCTTCTTATCAGTTCTCTGTCCAGTATAAAGGGAAGAAGAAAGATACGGAGACAGACACCCAGACCCCCCCCCACACACACACACACAAACATGGGGAGGTGGGGAGAGACCATGCAGCAGGCTAGAGCTTTTAAAATGGACCTACCATACATCTCTTCTCTTCCTAGTCAGCCATCACGTCAGGTATTACCTATTCTTTGAAAGTGTCTTAAAACTGATGATAGTACGGTATTCTTTGTGATTACGGTGTTACAGAATTCCTCACGACACAGGTTAAAGGGCACGTCTGGGAACACCCTTGATTGTGCTACATAGGTGGGAGGGAAACCTGTCCCCAGCCTGCTTTTAAAGTGTTTAGGGTAAGTGAGATAGCTCAGTGGGTAACGGTGCTTGCCTCCAAGGCTGATGATGACCTGTGTCCCACAGTACCCAACTTAGCCCCCACGAGCGTGCCTTGGCACGTGTATCCCCCAATTAAAGAAATTACATAACTGTAATAAAAATAAAATACTCAGGGCCAAAATACTTCCTGACACAGGAGCAAGATCCACACTAATGTGAATATGAAATATTTCATTAGAACAACACATTCACTGTAGAGCACTAATTCCAGCCCTGTGATTCCAGCACTCTGGGAGGCAGAGGCAGGCAGATCCTGTTGAGTTCAAGGCCAGCCTGGTCCATAAAGCTAGTCCAGGACAGGCAAGGCTACAAAGAAAAACTCTGTCTTGGGTGGGTGAGGAACGCTAACTTAATTCTCACCTGATAGTTAATTTTCAACCAGCCAGAGCAGGCACCATTTCAGGAAAAACAACTCCTTGTGACCAGACTTTACCTTTGCCCTAATTTGTCTAGTCCAGTTATTTAAATATCAAATGCCCTTGCAGCCAGGTTGGCCTCATGGCTGTGAAGACATGAAACAGACTAATGTTTTCCTGAAAATACAATCCCAGAGGGACATCAAAACAACCCTCTGTGACTTAATTTGAGAGACGTATCGACTCTGGCCTGTAAGCTAACATTCTGGATAAAAATGACCCTGACAGACAGAAACATCACAAGGTCAAGTCTCATTCTTAGAAGACAGGGTGAGAAGTCAGATCCTGGGGAGAGGACAAAGGGAAGAGTCTGGCCTGCTGGCTCCTTGGAGCAGTTCAGGAAGGCCAAGAGTTGGTGAGAGGGAGAGAAGTACTTGCCCCTGGGGTGGTATCCGGATCCCCTGCTGAATGATGGGAGTGGTGCTGCTTGAGAAGTCAAGTGTAGGGACTGAGCTGGCCATAAAAGAACAGGTCAAGTTATGTCCCGGATGGATGAAGGGGCATTTCGTGTAGAGGATGTGGGGGTGGGGAGAAAGCTGTTCTGTGGGGAGGGAGAAAGGGAAGCTCAGAGGACAAAGTCATCCCCCACTGTTTGCACTCTTTGGGGCTGCATGGAGCCCCTGAGCTCACCCTGTTACCTCACCAGCCTCTGAGGAGCTGGAACAGCTCACCGGGTGTGCACTGCTGTACCCAGCTCTTTACAAGCAGTTTGAACCAGCCTGAAACGAAAATTCATAATTTAATGGGAATGTGGCGTATTGTTGAGAAGCCATAATCTCTCATAAGGCCACGAGGGTCTGGGCTTTGAAGAGAAACATGAGAATCTGAAGCAAGGGTCTGATAGCAGAAACACTTGGGCTGCTGTGCTGTTTCTTCATTCTGCTCTCTGCACTCCAGGGATTTCCTTACTGAAGCCACTATGGGCTTCCAATTGCCCCTAGCCTAGAGTGTTCACGGTCCCTCTCTCCGGTGCCTGCAGGCCCTGCTTGTGAACCAGCAGTGCGGACAGGAGGATTTGAAAGGAGACATGATCAAGCACAAAAAGAAAAAGGATTTCCCCTTGGGGTACCCTGAGGCACAACCCTGTCCACTGGCATGGGACATGATCCTCCGATACTTAAAACCCACAGAGAAGGTGGACGGTACCTCCGTCTCCAGTGTGCCACCAGCCTGCCACTTCAGCCAACAGTACTGTGAGAAACTCAGGAACCAGTATGTGAAGAGGGCGGCCGCCAACCTCTCCTTCTCCGAGGAGGTGAAGTGGGAGCGGTCTCTGCGTTGCATGCCTTTCAGCCAGTACAGTTTTGAGCACATCTACAACACAGATGGCATCGTGGCACCTCGGCAGACCGGGAAGGACCACGCTGGGAAACCTGCGTACAAAAGGGCCCTGCACGCCTCGGCAGGAGACACCACCCACCTTCCAGAGACGCAAAGGTCTGCGGCTTCTAAAAAGCAGGAGAAACCAAAGCCGGAAGGACTGGACCAGAAAGCATCTTCCCCACGACCCCGCTTTGTCCACGCGAAGTCAGATATGCTGGACCTGTCACCTTCTCCAGATGAGAGTCTGCAAGAAAGGGAGACCTGGCTTCCGCCTGGTGAGAAAGAGGCTCGAGGCTGGGAGGCCATCGTGCTGGAGAAGCTGGACAAGCGCACGGCGCGGTGGATCCAGAACAAACGTCCACTGAGGCCCGGGCAATCCCCCAACAAGTGGCAGGCCTTCCTGCGCCAGCAGTATGACTGGAGCCACATTCGGGATGCGCTCACTTCAGAAAGCGACCTGGAACTCCTCAAAGAACTGGAGGCAGAAGAGATAGCAGAGTTTGAGGGTGAAACTGTTGTCCTGCCGCCCAAAGAGATAAAGAAGCCGGAGTTGCCGCTTCCGGTTTATTACAGGTAGGCCGGCCTCAAGTGGACCCGGCAAAGCCCGTGGCCCTCCCCAGAGGCTCCTCATTTGTTATCACCGTGGTTTTCCAGTGCTGAGGATCAAACCCCACCCCCTTGCGCTTGCTGGGCAAGAACACTGCCCCTGGCTACACCCAGCCCACACTCTTCAGAATTCCTTTTCCCAGTCAGCCTCTTGTTTTCCACCACCACCTGCTCTCCGAGGTCTCCTGAAGTTAGGTTTCTAAGCCTCTACACTGCCGACATTGTAGGCCGGACGCTACGCTATAAGCTGCTGCCCGGTTTTGTGTAGGATGTTCACAGAATCTCTGGTCTTCACCTCGCATTGGTGGTAAACAAGATGACACTGCCAGAGAGCTCTGAAGGACAAAATCACACCCTGCTCCGAGCCGATGTCTTAAAGGATTCTGCTCTTAGCTTTCTGTAACTGAGCTCCCAGGCAGATGATCTGGCTCACGAGTACTCCTAGAAATGGAGACAGGTTGACAGTGAGGGCAGGGGTCTCATGGCTTTGGTCTGCCTCCCTTCGAATAAGACTCACTGACTCCAAACACAACCAGACGCAGGGCAGAAAACCAAGCAATCCAAGGACACAAGATGACCCCACAATCCTCAGATGACTTCCTTTTCATTTCCAGCTAGAGTGAAGAGAGGAGCCATTATGATCTCCCTTACATCCAAAAGAGAAGTAAATGTAGAAATGTAGTTATTTATTGGACAAATATAGGTTTGATTTTTTTGGTTGATGTTATTTCAGACAGTCTGTGGAGTGGTGGGAACATAATATAAACGGGTAGATGTGTCCACCTAGCGAATGGACAGTAAATCTCCCCACAGTTCATCCAGGTAACATAGAAGGCAATTTCCCCTCCCCAAATCCATGCACCTTCTAAGGGAACCAGTGTTAAGAATGAGCAGCTGAGGGGGCTGGAGAGATAGCTCAGAGGTTAAGAGCACTGGCTGCTCTCCCAGAGGTCCTGAGTTCAATTCCCAGCAACCACATGGTGGCTCATAACTATCTATAATGGTGCCTCCTTCTGATATGAAGGCATACATGCAGATATTGTATACATAATAAATAAATTAATTAAAAAAAATGAGCAGCTGCCAGGCATGGTGGCTCTGTAAATTCACAATTCACGGCAGAGCTCTGTAAACTCAATTGTCAGCTTGGTCTACAGAGGAAGTTCCAGGCCAGCCAGCCAGCCAGGGCTGTTATACAGAGAAAACCTGTCTCAGAAAAAAAAAAAAAAGAAAACAAAAAACAAGCTGCAGATTGGGCATGGTGGCACACACCTATAATCCCAGCACTTGGGAAGCAGAGAAGCAGGAAGAAAACAACTTTTGAGGCTATACTGGGCTACATACTAAAATCTAGGCTAGCCTGAGCTACAGAGCAAGGGCCTTTCTCAATTTTCTCATACGCATGGACAAGGAAGAAAATGGAGAGTTGGGCAGGAAGCACTGCTGCCCTGTCACAGTGTCTGCCAGTACTGAGAGGCATGGCTCCGACAGTGGAGGAGGGCAGGGGGGCTGAAGATGGGCTCTTCCAGACGTTCCATGTTCAAACCACGGTGTGCGTGCTGGTCCTTAGACACAGTTGTTCAGATGCTTCTATGTAGGAGCAGAGCTTAAGTGGGCTACAGTGGGCCATGGGCCCAATGGAGAGGGGCATGCCTTCTAGCCTTTCCACTTTCCCCCTTTCTGCCAAGGTTACCTGGCTACTCCTCACAAGTACCGACGGGTGAAATCCTGCCTGGCACCAACAGGACGAGTGAGGAAATCCAAGAAATGAGAAAGAGACTCCAGCAACCAGCTCAGACCCTCTTCCGGCAGGTGAACCCCAAGGCTGGAGAGTACGCTTACTCTACAGACAACACCTTCGAGCAGGAAATTTACTTTGGTAATGGTGCTGGGCTCTATGGTGGGAGCAGGGGCATCTTGGGACAAGAATAGTTGTGGGTGCAGATAAGCGTCTCTGGGACACCTCCCAGTGCTGTTACGGGATTTGTGGCAGGGCGTCCAGTGGAATGCAAACACTCCTTTTGCCTATTTCTATCTCTCCATCTCATCAAGGAGAGGGAGGAGGTTGGGCTTGCAACATGAGCTGGAGGTGAATTTAGGAGGACCCTGTTCTTCTCTGTCTACCCTTCCATCACTTTTAGGTGTCTCCTTTCACCCTCATGGACCTTCTAGGTTCTAAAAACCAAACCAAACCAAACCAAACACCCTACCGGCTTTGGAGTCAGGCAGATTTGTTTAAACATTGGCTTGATTCTGTCTTAGTAGCCTTCAGCAAATTACATAATCCCTCGAGGCTAACTATGGTACTTATTTGTAAAGCAATGTGCAATAGACAAGAAAGTGTCTGCAGAACTTCCACTTAGCACACAGAGGGTCATCGTGACCACCTGTGACCTTCCTTCCCTCTACCTCACTAACCTTTCAGTGCCCAGCCTTGCAGAGCGTGATCTAGGATTGCATGTTCCAAGCTGTTTCTCTCCCTCTGGCCCTCCCTCCTTCCTTTTCTTTGTTTTTGTTTGTAGATACGGTTTCTCTGTGTTGCCCTGGTTGTCCTAAAACAACTCTGTAGACCAGGCTGGCCTCGAACTTAGAGATCTGCCTGCCGAGTGCTGGGATAAAAGGCATGTGCCAGGGCTTGGCTCCAAGCTTTCTTCTTTACTGGTTCCATCTTGCTTCTAAACTGCTATCGGCCAGGTCTCGGAATGGATTCGTAACTGGTTGGTGTTAATTAAGTGGCCCTTCTTTAGTGTTTAGCATGGCTTAGAAATTGGTTTCTGCTTTAACACTGGAAAACACCATCTTCGGCTCTCCTACTAGCTGTGACTTTTCTAGATTAGAGAAAAAGAAGGCACTGGACCTTCATTGCATCTCTCTTCATAGATGGAGTGAAGATTGTTCATGAGATTGGTGGGAAGAGAGACCAGATTCTCCTGGAAAACCTCAATCGATACGAGAAGCACCTAACTCCAATCTTCCCTGAAAGCCCAGAAAGGTGGAGTTTCCAGCCTGTTCCTGAAATACGTAAGGAACATTATAAGAAAGTGAACAATGGGGGCAATATGGAAGTGAGGCTGGTTTTTTGTTGTTTTGTTTTTTGTATGTTTGTTGTTTTTTCTTGTTCTTTTTGTTTGTTTCCCAAGATGGAGTTTCTTTGTAGCCCTGGTTGTCCTGGAACTCACTCTGTTGACCAGGCTGGCCTTGAACTCACAGAGATCCTCCTGCCTGTACCTCCCAAGTGCTGGGATTAAAGGTGTGTGCCACCATATCCAGTTTGAGGCTGTTTCTTTAAAGCCATGGGCACCACCAACAGTGAGGGCACTCCTTTCCTAACAACTGAAAACACTAAAATACTAACTGTCAGATGGTGGTACAGTACTTGCTACCAGTTGGAATCTGGTATTATTTAGGTGTAAATACATACGGGTAATTACAGAGAAGATGGTTGTTCTCAGTGCTTCCAAAGGAAGCTCATCAGATGTGTCCCTTACATCTGTGTCCCTGGGCTGGCTCTCTGCCTTCCACCATACTCAGCTCCTCCTCACCTCAGGCCTTCGGGTTTTTTATTTTTTCTTGTCTTTCTTGCTATGTATTTGTATGTGGTGGTGTGTGTTCCTGTGTGTGCAGATACACAAGAGTGGGTGTGTGTGGAGGTGTGAACTGACAGTAGAAGTCTTCCTTTCTCTCCAGCTCACTCCTTGAGCCAGGGTGTCTCAGCTGAACCCATATATCATTGGTATAGTCAGTCTGGCTAGCCTGATTTTTTTTTTTTTTTTAAGATCTCCTGTCTCCGTTTTTCAAGAATTTTAGACAGGGGGCCATGCAAGCCCAGCTTTTATCTGGGTGCTGGGCATTCAAACTCCGGTTCTTGTATTTGCATAGCAAGCGCTTTACCCACTGAGACATTTTTCTGATGCTTTTTTTTTTTTTTAAGTATTTCACTATTTTGTAAGACAAAGGTGACCAAGAAAGAAGCTCCTAAAACAAAATGCACCCATGTTCTAAGAGACCATGTCTGTAAATCCTACTAATCTTTGCACTATCACTATTCGGATGGGCTCTCTGTGACTGAGCACGTAGCTGGATGTCTTCATGCCTGTGCTATTGTTGCAGAGATACCATGACCACAGCAACTCTCATGAAAGAAAGCATTTAATTGGAGGCTTGCTTGCCATTTCAGAGGGTTAATCCATGACCATCATGGCAGGGAGCATGGAAGCAGGCACGGTGCTGGCATAGTAACTGACAGCTACACCCTGGTCCACAGGCTGATGGTATGGGAGTGATAGGTAGACAAACACAGCAACAGAGAGAAAGGGAGGGAGAGAGAGAGAGAAAGAAACTGGGCCTGGTTTGGGCTTTTGAAACCTCAAAGCCTATCCCCAGTGATAAGAGTTCCTTCAATATGGCCATACCTACTTTTAACAGGGACCTTCCTCCTAGTCCTTCTAATCCTTTTCAGATAGTGCCATCCTCTGGTGACTAAACCTTCAAATAAATGAGCTCATAGGGGACACTCTTATCAAACCACCACTGGGCACGGCATTTCCAAGCACAAGTCCCCAGCTTTCACAGTCAACAGTCAGGTAAAACCCAACCCTTCATTGCACAGCTTATAAGCACAAGAAAGGAATACAGCGCTGGACTGCGCGGCCCACTCAGGTCAACAGCCTTCTGCTTCAGGTGGGCGAGGAGGACAGGGATGCCAAGAAGAGGAGAGTGAAGAAGAAAATTGAACCCCTGAAGGAGGACGTGCCCTGGAAGCTGAAGGCCCTGCGGAATATGCTGCAGGAGTGGAAGACTTCATGGGGACTCAGTAAGTGACGCAGGGCCCGACACAGTGGACATTTCCGAGTCTGGGAAAGTCCAGCCCTCTCTTGTAAAATGTAAAAGGCTGGTTGCCCCATGAAGGGGCCTTTTGTTCAGGAGGTGTTAAGAGAACAGTATTATCGACATTGGGTTCTTTTTTTTTGCACCGGCAGGTACATGTGAGAACTTCAGTGATACATGGGAACTTACTATGTTGCAGGCTATTTCATCAGAGAAAAGGAACACTGGGCTCATTGGCAGGGAACAGCTCATTTCGCGCTAGCACTGTCTCTGTGGAATTTTCCTCAAAGGCAGGGCTGTGGGCATCCAGGAACAGAGCTTTTTATACATTTTTGGACCCATTTGTTTCCCATACAGGGTGGCTTACCTTCTGAATGAATAGGTACTTTAGATTACTGGGCGGGTGAGACTGAAAAAATAGCTGAGGTGAAAAGGGAAGGAAGAGGGGCTATGGGAGAGATGTGGTGGAGTTCCACTCCTCATGAGCACTGACCAGCCAGAAGTGTTTTTCTTCTCTTTGGCTCTTGGGAGCCCTTACCACAACCACACTGAGAAAACTTCCCAGGCATCTGTCTTACCCATGTCTGAATCATGCTGGACAAATGATTCATGACAGGAAAGATGAAAGATAGTGCCCTAGCATTAAATATGCAGCTATCGAAAGAAACTGCAGTTGACTGGAGAACAAACTCAGGTGTGCAAATGGGATTGTCATGGATCTACTTTCCTTCACAGAACTTTAAGGAGAAAGTTGAATTCCTCTACCAACTGAGAACCTCACCCCTCACCCTGTTTTGTTTTTGTGATGGGAGAACTCATGAGTTCATGATCCTCCTCTTTCAGCCTAACTGACATTCATTAACTGTGTGCCCCCATAAACAGTCAAACACTGTATTTTACTCCTCATTCATTTTTAATGAAAAGTTACTTGAGCAAAGAGTAATAGCATGTGAGATGAGATTGAAGGCAACTACCTACTTGCCAAAGGAAGCCTGTCTCTAAATTCTTTATCCTGAGCTAAAGTGTTCCTTGCACTGGTCTAGGGAAAGGGACTTCTTGCTGCCTATTTATTGTGTGTCTAACCCTAACTAGGTGGTTCTTTTTTCATTTTTCTTCCCATGACATAGTTATTGAATGGCATCACGAGACAGTAGAGAACTTACTACGGGGCATGGTAAACATGTATGATGACATTAGGATCCAGGCCATCGTCACATGTGCTAGCGCTGCTGTAGAAAGGCCCCAGATTGCCACCAACCAGGAAGGCTCAGGTGAGAGCTCAGACTGAGCTGCTTGGAAACCTCTGAATGGAGGGGAGAGGCCTTAGAGATTACTTGAGTTCCTGTTCCAAATGGGGAAACCAAGGCCTAGAGTCTGCCTGCACAGCTCATCTCAAGAGATAAGACTGAAGTCCCTGGATTCTAGTTCAGTACCCTGGTGTTACACTCAGGGCCTCTGGCATCCTAAACGTGCACTCTACACCAAGAGCTTTTTGTAATCTACTCATCCCATTTGTTTGCTCAGTGGCTTGCAATGAAGTCCCCATTTTCCCACCCTGAAATCTCATAGCAGTAAAAAACTTAATGGCTGGGGACTGGAAAGATGGTTCAGTGGTTATGGCCACTGGCTGTTCTTACAGAAGACCCAGGTTCTGTTCCCAGTACCTACATGACAGCTTACAACGTTCTGTTCTAAGGGCTCTAACGTCCTCCTCTGGCCTTTATTGGCACCAACCACACATGTGCCACATGTACATACATTCAAAGAAAATGCTGGTCTGGCATGCACAAAGCCCCAGTCTCAAGCAAAGAAAGGTAGGAAGGAAAAACATAAAAAAAAAAAAAAATTACATAAATGAAATCGATAGACTTTATATCTTAAAAAAGAATTAAGAATTTTTCCACTTTTGCAGATGGTTTGTAATCTCTTAGGGAAAATATTGACAGCAGGCAAGAAAACTTCCCTTCGACTACAGGCAAAACGATAACCTACCAAGGATGATTCAACAGTAAAGGCTCCCGATGATGAAATGTTAGACAGAACCCCCGACCCACCCACTCCTCTGAATTGCATGTGCCTTCTCAGAATCATTTACCTGAAAACTTGAGCCAACGTGCTGAGCTGGAGACAGCTCACTCTATCTTCACACCTACAGTGGATTGTAACTGCCTGCTTGCACCTCTGCTGCCCCTGCAGCTAAGGGCAGGGACACTTCACCTCTTCCCACTTATCAGGCTTTTAAAGGTTCATCCAGTTACTTCCTAGTTAATTGACTTGTAGACACGGGCATTTCCCCAGATGTTGCCTTCTGGTGGCACTGGGGCACACACTTTCATGCATGATCAACAAGCACTCTGTCAACTCATCTACGTGCCTGGCCTCCTCCAGGTTTTTAAGTTTGCTGCTCCCTCTGCTGGAAAACTTTGTCTTCACCTGATCAACCCTTAGCTCTACAGCAAAGACAGCACTTCCTCCGAGAAGCCTGGGACTTAATTCATTCAGTGTTCCGCTGGATGCTTCTACACATACTTGTGATTTTTTCTTCTTTCTTTGGGCAATGGATATTAATATGATCTCACACCCAAAGCTGCAGTCTGTGGCACCTGACAGGTATGTGTTCTGAGAGATGTGTCATTATGCAGTTTCACCACTGTACAGACGTAATGAGACTTACATGGAGCCCAATCGTGTTACTGGGAGACACATTTTATGGGACTGCTGTGGTACATGTTTTATCATTGGCACATGACTGTACATACAAAAACACCTTTGTCCTCTGAATCGTAAGCCCTTTCACAGGTCCTGCACATCTAGAGCTCAGCTTATTACTTAACCAAAGAAAATAACATTATTCCTTAAAATACTCGGTAGACCCGTATTTGCTCTCTTGAGACGCACATATTTCTACCTATGTCCCTTGATTAACTAGCCCTTATCTGCAATGCTTCAGATAGGAGAAAAACTGGGTTACTTCTAGATTTGGGAGTATTTGAATATACACGAATTATCTTGGAGATGAGACTTAAGTCTAAACGTGAAAGTTATTTGCATTTCAATTGTATTTTATATATGTAGCCTGAAGGTAATTTCATATAATTCTTAAACTGTGTCTACATTTTTATTGAATCTGTCACATGAGGACAGGTGTGAATGTCCCACTGTTGTGTCATGTCTGTATTTTGGAGCGTTTCAGATTTTGGATTTGGAGATCAAGAGTCTTCAACTAACATGTTCTGAACAGATGGCATACAGGCCTACAACCTAAGTAAAAAAAAAAAAAAAAACAGAAACGACAGAGGGACTGAGATTATATGCCTATAATCCTAGCACTTGGGAAGTAAAGGCAGAAAGATCAGGAGTTAGGTTCTAAGACCCTCAAAAACAAAACAAAATCAGAGTCACAGAATGAGTTCCAGGACAGTCAGTTTCTCTAAATACAGATACGCCCTGTCTTGAAAAAAACAAAACAATAAAAATTCAGAGTCACAGCTCTGCTGTTTCTTGAGAAGACACTTGTGGGCAATGAGGTAACAACCCTTCTGCTTAAGAATTTAAACTGCAGCCAAGTGCCCATCTCCTTCCTGAGCTTCTGATTGGTTTTCACCGATGATGCTGTAGCCTCGACCCCAAAGCCTTGTGCCTTTACGGCTGGTGCTCTGCAACTGAGTTAAAATGTTTTCCTATGTTTACAGGCAAAATTCATAGGAAAAAAATTAAGCCCCAGCTGACAAGTCACAACAGAGCTGAAAAGAATATAAATGGAAGCACTTGCCCGACACTATACTTTGAGCCTCCCCAGATGCCTTGTGGGATACATGCCCTCCATGACCCTAGTCTGCACCTAGTTGCTGGAGACATATCAATTCATCCAGGATGAATGCTACAGAATGCTACAGGCTTTATCAACTCCAGACAGGGCCTAGAGATGGCTCAGTGGTTAAGGGCACTGGCTCTTCTTTCAGAGGACCTAGATTTGATTCCCAGAATACAAATGGTAGAGGATCCAAAGCCCTTTCTGGTCTCTACAGGCATGGCATGCATATGGTACAGATATACATGCAAACAAAACATCTAAAATTAAAAAAAAAAAAAAAAGTTAAGAAAAAAACACTTTCCCCAATTAAAAAGAGAAATCCAGCAAAATGAAATACCTGCCATTGCTGTCCTGACATGTGTGGTCTTCTGTCCTGAAGTACAATGCTTACATCAAGTATGAGTGTTCACAGTAAACTCTAACAGAGCCCCTGTTGGATTCCACAGTGACACACAAACTCAACCGGAGTTGAAATACTAAATTAGACAATGTGCAAAATGGCAAAGCATTACATAAATATAACTCTTATTATGGAGTAAATGGGTTGCTTTTGTTACTGGAATTAGCTGGAAATATGTTTTGGCTTCAGTACTAGAGACCAGATGATAAAGGACTGGAAACTGTATGTTAGCGCCTGAGTCCTGTGGGCCTGAAATCATGTCCACTGTAGGCCGTCAGCTGACCTGTGATTCATAAATGTAAAGTAGATCTTGGTAAGGAAGCTGTCTGAGGGAACCGAATAGGACCTCTATCTTTTTCATTGCAGAACCAGTTATTCCGGATTTACCAGAGGTCCTGCAGCATGCTGTAGGGGCAGCTCTGTCTGACAGTAATCCCAATGTGAAGATGGCAGCAGCAATATGCCAGTATGCCCTACGGTCAAATAATCCCATTGCCCAAGAAATCATGCAGACAGCCCTTATGAAGGGTGAGTACCGCCCTGCTACTTCTGACCAGGGATAGGAGGCAGAGGCTCCCTCGTTATTAGCTTTTCGAGTGTTTGTTTCACTGGAATGCTGGGATGTGGGCTGCTTTGGGTTTGAGTACCTGTTATAGGCACATGGAGACACTGGTTCTTCCTAGGGACTTACAAAACAAGTGCAACGAACTGGTACGTAGTGTAAGCTTTCAAGGATGGAGTCTATAAACCATGTCTTAAAATGGATGAAACCAGAGAGAGTATCTTAACTAAAGCTAAAGACAATTATGGGACAGGGCCCCCTCCCTGTTTTCTCCTCTATGTGGAAACTATAATTAAAAGATCAAAAAAAAAAAAAAAAAATCAACCTCAACCTGAAGGTAGAAAAGTGATTAGTAGAGGTTAGTGGTGGGAGCAGAAAGCAGATAAACGCAGGCAGGCTTCATCAATGCAATGCACTGAGACAGCACCCTGAACCTCGTTAATAATGCGGTTAATGCATGCTAGCTATTGATTTTAGTGTTGCACTTCTAGATCGATGGTAGAATGATCGTCCAGCACATTAAGACCCTTAACTGGATTCCTAGTACCAAAAAGTAAATCCAACAATGGCCTCCTATGCGACATTTTATTATTGAAAATATAAAATAACAATACTAAGTACATTTTGTAAGTTTTTAAAATTAACTCGTGCACATCGTGCTTCCAGTTTCCGCACAGTAACACCTAGGCGTGAGGATGTGGGAGCTAACAAAGCTGTCCTAAGAGGCTGCCGACCTGTCTTGAGATGAGCTGTTTCTTGCCTTAGCATGGGAAAACTGGCTGACTAGTCTAGCCTTCTGTAAATAAATAATCCACTGCCTAATTCACCTGTTTTAGGAATGGACTTCTACCTAGTCCCCTGTAGCTCTCCCAATCTTCATGGAAAGAAAAAGCTGCACTTCTTTAGCTAGATCACAAGTGTTAGCCAAGCCTCAGGGCATTCACCTTTAATTCTGGCACTTGAAAGATAGAGGCAGGGGTGTCAAGGTCAGAACTGGTCAGTGCCTTTAATCCCTGCATAATGGAGGCAGAGGCAGGCGGATCTCTATGAGTTCAAGGCCAGCCTAGTTTACAGAGCGAGTTCCAGGATAGCCAGGCTACACAGAAACCCATCCTAAAAACCAAACCAAACCAACAACAAAAGGTCGGGAGTGAGGCAGTGGCTTGGTGGTGAGGGCTTTGCTCCCAGGCTCTACGCCTTGGATTCTATCACCAGTACTCTTCCTCATAAAGAAGCTGAAGGTCATCTTCTGCCACACAGTGGGTTTAAAACTAGGCTAGACCTAGTCTCCAAAAAAAACTTTTTTCTAGTTTTTTTGTTTTAAAACCTTAATATAGTCCATATAGTTGAACTAGGGATTAGAGTCCCAGACTCAGCGGGATATTGGGAAGTGAACACTCAGGCAAACAACAGTCTTGGTACCCATTCAAAGGCGGTGCTCTCTAGGAGGAAACATTGTTCTCAACAGTTTTTCCACACTCCGGGGCAGGTAACAGTGTGGACAGCTGGGCTGCAGCTCAGTGCTTGGCTCTGGAAGATATTGCCACCTACCCAGTGATTAAGAGAATCCTTCACCAGCTCTTTAACAAGAAGAATAAGGCCAATGAGGAACAGGCTTGCATGCTCCTGAGTCATCTTTGTGAAAAGACGGTATGTGTCCACTTCAGAGAGAGACGAAAATGAGGGACTGGTGCACATAAGGAGAGAATGTAGGTGACTGAGGATGGTAAGCATAGGCCAAGCACACCAAGTCTGGAAAACTGGACATGGAGCGCTGTACAAGGTGTGAGAAGCTAACAGACGTTCCTAACAGTAAAAAGGGTGAGTCATGTGCAGACCTGCTTCTCGGAGGTCTATCACTAAGGACCCAACAACTCCATTAATTCTTCAGGTAGAAACACTGAGACACACAGACTGAGGCAGATACAGACCATTCTGGGGACTAAAAATAGTCAGGAAGAGAAGGTCCTCATTTTCTGCTCAGATTATTGGTTCTGTGTTTTCTTTTCTGTTTTATAACCCGAGTCGGATTGCCTGGGTAGAGGGGTGCTCTTATAAACCCACTCTGTCCCTTAATAAGATGGCACGCCTGGGGGCATTTACGCTGCCAGGTGCCGTGTCAGGGTATACTGTCTTTAGTATTAGCACCTCTCACGGCAAGGCTATCTATGCAAGTCTTCCTCTCCCTCAGCCGCTGATCCACACCATGCTTGCTGTCGAGCTCAACAGCAGGCAGTGGGAAGACCGAATCAAGGCCTGCCGCACTTTCTCTCGGATCGGTGGAAAGATCTGCATAGTAAGTCTATTGTCTTTGCCTCCAGGAAGCTTGGCAAGGCTAGCCTGGAGTCTTCCTACTTTCCACTTCTATCTCGTAGCTCATTGCTGCCTCTTATTCATAACGTAGAGTATCTTTAAGTATTATGTACTTCTTAAGCCAGGGCTTCTGAGTTGGATGGCAATCCACAAGTTGACACACAAACCAAAAGACAGAGCTTAGAAACTTTATAGTAATTTGACACTGTTTCAGTATCAGCAAACATTATAAAAGTATTGGTCATCAGAAAGGCAAAGAAGATGGACATCAGAAGAAGGAGAAAACAGGGAACAGGACAGGAACCTACCACAGAGGGCCTCTGAAAGGATCTACCCTGCAGGGGATCAAGGCAGATGCTGAGACTTATAGCCAAACTTTGGGCAGAGTGCAGGGAATCTTATGAAAGAAGGGGGAGATAGAAAGACCTGGAGGGAACAGGAGCTCCGCAAGGACAGCAACAGAACCAAAAAATATGGGCACAGGGATCTTTTCTGAGACTGATACTCCAACCAAGGCCCATTCATGGAGATAACCTAGAACCTCTGCATAGATGTAGCCCACGGCAGTTCAGCGTCCAAGTGGGTTCCATAGTAATGGCAACAGGGACTGTCTCTGACAGGAACTGGTGGCCTGCTCTTTGATCACCTCCCTCTAAGGGGGGAGCAGCCTTACCAGGCCACAGAGGAAGACAATGTAGCCACTCCTGATGAGACCTGATAAATTAGGGTCAGAAGGAAGGAGAGGAAGACCTCCCCTATCAGTGGACTTGGGGAGGGGTATAGGTGGAGAATGGGGAGGAAGGGTGGGAGCTACAGGGGGATACAAAGTGAATAAGCTGTAATTAATAAAAATAAAAAATTATTGATCAATGATGCATTCCCCCGACCCACACTGAAAACTGGTCCTTAATTTGTTTGCGAAGCAGGCTGAAAAGACCCAACGATTTAATTAAACAAACGAGTGCCTGTGTTGGTTCTCTGAACATTCAGTACACATATACAAAAACATGGTCCTGCTTTAAAAACAATGGCACTGCAACTGCAGCAATGAGACTAACAATGCAAATGACTTGGTGACCTGCCCTGTGGCCAGCAAGGCTGACTCCTTGGATTGAATACTATCTTCATGGAGTACTAGGGGACTCCAGGTGTCGAACTCAAGAGTAGTGCAAACAATGCACTCCATCTTTATTATTAAAGCAAACACAACAGGAGGTAATGCTTTCAGTTAGCTTAAGCAAATACAATGAGGGAGTACACCTGGTGTTACTTCTTATCATCTTTGGCTGTGTGAAAAGAGCCAATATTCTTTGGCTTAGCTTTTCCCGCAGAGACAATGTGGATGTGCCAGGGAACTCCCCTCATGTCTCTGCTTTCTAGTGCATTCACTTTTCATAGCTTACACAATTCTTTCCAAAAGGCCTCTTTGTGGGAAGAACATTCTGTACTCTGCCCCATCCACAGTTCACAGCTTTCTTACACTGCTCTCACATGAGAGCAGAGTGAACATAAGGTGCTCCCTTGAAACTTTCAGGAGCCCAGTGTGCACAGAACTTGAAGGTATGGAACTGGGCTACAACTGAAGAAGGAATTCTGAGCAGTGAAACCTGACTCTCTTACTAACTGTGGAATCGGTCCTTTCCTCCTTTGTGCTGCTCCATCATTTTATCACACCGGGCACTTACTGCCGGTACAGCGCTTAACGGGCTATTCTTTGCAGAAGCGCCCTCCATTCTTCAACCCTTACATTTGTTAAAGAAAGCACACAATCTGGCCATTCAGAATAACCTGAAGAGGTCTGAGAACAGGGTAATTCCTTCTCACGTGCTTTAATTCCCTGCTGCTGAGACTAGACTCTAGCTGTGGACGAGGTACAGATGAAGGACTTCATGATGTACTGCAGGAATTTAAAAGGGCAGTGTGCCTGAGTTCTTTCATTCCCTCAGTAAGCAAGCAACCACATCCCCTCTACATTGGTAGGCATGATGGAGGCATTAGTGGAACAGAGAGACCATCTCTTCCCTTGGTAATGCTTGAACAAACTGTAACAAAAGCGGTTGTAAGACACTGTAGGATTTCCTATGCTTACAGGGGGGCAGAGGAGATGCCTTCTGAGCGAAGTCCTAAAGAGGAAAATACCTGGTACCAGATGGAGGTAGAGGAAACTACTTCACACAGTTTCATCAGCTACAACTGTAGCAATGTTTTCCCTTCCCTGTAAGAGAGAAATCCCCTGCCAGGGGGATTAAGTGCCCTGATTTGTACATGACATGGACTTTTGGTATTAAAATTAGAAGTCTCAGGCAATCTGGAATGAGGAGGTTACTCCATTATTTAACACTTCCAAATTATGTTGGCATCAACATGATGCACGAGAATAAGAGATGAGTTTGGAAAACAAACCTGGATCTGAGATCAGGCATAAGCACTTACCAGATTATCTGTGGGCAAGTTAAACAACACCTACATTGAGTCATCTGAACATAAAAATGCCACCTGCCCATCTGGTTTGAGCAATTAAAGGATAGAGGAAAAAACTGGTATCAAGTATGAAATTAATTAGCCAATTCTCACTCTCTTTATAGAATATGAAACAGAAAATAATCGAGCTGCTGTGGAAAGACTGGAACAAGGAAGTGAGGAAAGCAGCTGCCTTAGCACTGGGGCGGATGAACTTGGGGAAAGAGGTCCATGACATGATCAGGTAAGATGCATCTTACAGTGCCTGGGTGACCTGGGATCCAACCAGCATCTGCTGAGCTCTGCGCATGACCAGCATTGCACTAGGTCCCACTGCAAAAAGTACTGAATTAGAACAACGGCGTATATCGAACTGCTATAGAAAATGGGGTGCTCAATGTGGGCTGGAGGAGTGAGGCCAAGTTTCAGGGAACTAGTCGATCCAGACTGGGAGACAGCTGCCAAAATGAGCACTGCATGCGTAAGCAGACCATACGGTTAGAAGCTGCAAGTTCCCTTTATTTGGTGATTCAATACATCCGCATTTCTACAACATGATGGACAATAGGGGTTCAAGAAAATACGACACCTGAGGCCCGAACCCAGTCAAAATGTAATGGCTATAAGCTGACTAGAAAAGGATATGGCGGGGCTGGAGGGATGGCTCAGAGATTAAGAGCACAGTCTGCTCTTCCAAGGTCCTGAGTTCAATTCCCAGCAACCACATGGTGGCCCACAATCATCTATGGTGATATCTGGTGCCCTCTTCTGGCATGAAGGCACACATGCAGGCAGAACACTATACATAATAAAATAAATCTTTAAAAAAAAAAAAAAAAGAAAAGGATACGGCTACATAACTGGGCCCACAAAGCTAGAATTCTATCCTCAGGGCATGGTGGAAGAGAAAAAGGCACAGACAGGTTTAAGGGAAATAGAAGCCACTTATGTTTTACAGGACTAAGCTGAGTCAAGGAAATTCCCAGGAGCGGATTGAGGCCCTCTCCCTGATCCGTGGGCTCAAGCTCATGACAGCCAAGCTTCTCCCAAGCTTCCTGAGCTGCTTCTCTGATGAGTTCATAGTCATTCGACAGGCAGCTTGCTTGGCAGCAGGTGCCCTGAAGATCCGCAACAAGATGGTAAGTCAAGGAAGCATGTTGTCATCTTAAGTGATGGACTTTAGGAGAGCTTCATTAGCTCTGTGGTGCATGGTATACTCACTATTCTGTGGGAACATGGCATGAGCAAGCAGGCAGGAAGGTGAGACACAGGCCACATCACCATTCAGTAAGGGACATTTAGCTCTTAGCGAGCCCAAACTTCAAGACAGAGTAAGCTACCCTCTCACTTCTGTTCTTGTCTCAGTTCACTAGCTTCCTAAGACCTGGCCGCCCACAGGCTTTAGGGTTTATGCTCCCTCATTCTTAGGGAGAAACTGAGCATGGGCATTCAAAAGAAGTCTAAGTGAAGCAAGGGGTAATCCTAGCACTTGGGAGCTAAGGCAAGAGGCAGGAAGTTCAAGGACTTGAGGTGAGAGGCTGAAGAAATGGCTCAGCAGTCAACAGCACTGGCTCTTCTTCCAGGGAACTAGCTTTGATCCCTAGCACCCACGTGACAGCTCACTACCATATCTAACTCTAGCTCCAATGGATCCAATGATACCTCCCTTCCAGCCCCTGAGTGCACAGTACGTATGTGTTGTACAACAGACACATGCAGGCAAAACCCTTATACATTAGAAGGCATTTGAGGTGAACCTAAGCTACATAGTGATGGTCTCCAAAAGGAGAGAATGGGAGGAAAAGTGAGACTGCGGAGTACGGGACTAGGGGTACAGTCAGTGGTAGAGCATGTAGTTAGTATATACATGGCAACAGAACTGTGTGCCAAGAAAAACACATAGAAAGAAGAAAATTCAGGTAGTTATTATACAGGCTGATACTTGAGGCTGTTACTGATTTTTTCCTGTTAAAGTGTCACTAGAAATAAGTGGGGTCTCTGTTCCTGTCCATTTCTTTTCTTTTATTTTTTTATTTTTTGGTTTTTCAATACAGGCTTTCTATGATCCTTGACTGTCCTGGACTCGCTTTGTAGACCAGGATAGCCTCGAACTCACAGATCTAGCTGCCTCTGCCTCTCCAAGTGCAGGGGTTACAGGCATGAGGCACTGTGCCCGGCTTTCTGGCCCCTTCTTATTCTGGTTCTTCCACTCAACTTTTCCCTTTGTCCACTGCAGGTGTTTGAATGCCTCCTGGATCTAATGCACAGAGATCCTTACTGGAAAATCAAGGCTTTTGCCATTCGAGGTATTTCAGAAATAACAGCTCCAAGACCTAGGCTTGAAATACATTCTCCATGCTAATACAGCCAATTCCCAGAAACTCTAGTAAGGCAGCTAGGGTATAGTGAAGGAAATTGTCTTAGCTTCTCAGAAGCCACTGGGCTGAGAAAGAAAAAAATATTTTCTTTTAAATTTCTAGTTAAGGATCCTAAGTCTAGAGCTATTTAAACTTGTCTAAGCAAAGGACAGATGACTGTCCCTATCAACAGAATTAGGTTTCTAATAGGTCTCCACTGTTGGCTATATCTTGCTTTCCCTGGAGATTGTAACTACAGCACTTGGGAATAGTCAAACCAGGTTTTTCTCCCTAGGACCTCTGCATTCCTTCTCTTTTTTGAAATGATCTTTGGTAGATCCCAGTAGAACCAGACCTAGTTAAATCTGAGACATAATTGTGCCTTTCTCCATCTTAACTACACTGCTCTTCCAGACTGTATTTGTTCCGTACCTAACTCCTGAATAGGTAAACTAGTCTGTTTACATTCCAGCAGGCAAGGACAGAATGAAACACTACCCTCTTAGGAGTCCTTTCCAAGAAATATCCCAACACAGAGCCAGACATGGTGGTGCCTACCTGTAATTCCAGCCCTCAGGGAGCAAAGGGAGGAGGGTCACTGAAAGTGTGAGGCCAGCCAGGGCTACACAGCAAGTCCCTGCCCCAAAGCTAGGCATCACACCTTACACGTGATAAGCAAAGCTTTGCTAGCTCTTTAAAGTTCCTTTCTAAATTTCGCTACCTTAGAATACTTTTGCTTTTCACTCCTATGTAATGATGATTAACTGCCACCCCCAAAATACTGTCTGCAATGCTCCCATTTCCTCTGAATGCTAGGATGTCGTCAATTTAGCCTTCGGTGGCAGTGAAGACACTTGTTCTCTCACCTCTGCAGCTTTGGGAGAGATTGGACTAGTGAGCCCTGAGCTGAAAGACCTTCTGCTCTGGTCCATCCACTACGAAGACTCCCCAGGCGTGCGACTGGAAGCCTGCCGCAGCATCATAGCCCTCAAGCTTGACGGAAAGCAGGTCAAGGACACCTTTCTAGATGTGTTGCTCCTGGAGAGCCACGAGGCCGTTCTCAAGTAAGCACCAGACCTCTTGTTTCTGCCATAATCTCCTGGACTGCCAACTCTTCAGTCCTTGATCACTAAACATGCTGGGCCTCTCCAGGCTCCTATTTACCTATTTATGTGAGAGGGTAACAGAAACCCTGAAGTAATTAGATTGTCACAGCTCCCATAGTTCATGTGTGCTGTTCTTCCAGGAAGTTTTAAGTTATTCATATATTCAACAGCTATCCAGTACTTACTGAGCAACAGACTACACTCAGTAACACCAGCTTTCAATGCAATAGCTATGTGAACCTGGAGAAGGCACTTAGCCACACTGTACCTCCCCTCGGCCCTTTATCTCAACCCTCCAATGCAGAAGAAAGCCTACATTATAAGGCTGTGGTGACAATGGTGAAATGACGTTTAGCATCTTTTATAAAGGTGTTACTAGTGTCACATGTATCATTTCTGAAACTGTACAATAGCTCTGTAAATTATCACATTTAAATAAATAAATAAAGAAGACCTGCCTTTAGAAAAAGCAGATTTGCTGAAGAGATGGCACAGTGGTTAAGAGTGGTCTGCTCTTCCAGAGGTCTCGAGTTCAACTTCCAGCAACCACATGGTGGCTCACAACCATCTACAATGAGATCTGATGCCCTCTTCTGCCATGTAGGTGTACATGTAAATAGAGCACTCAATTAAACTACAATTAAACTGTTAGTAAGTGGCATTTATGGTTCTTGCCTAATTCCAAGTCCTACACTATGCTTTCTTTTTAAGATGGGGGTCAAACAATCTTTCATATCTTTCAGGGAAATTTACCAGGCAATGTCGATACTCAACTTAGAAAATGAAGACAATCAAGAAATGCTTCAGGAGATCAAGAACAGGGTACATAAATACAAACTGTGTTTTCAAGAGGAAATCCAGGGCTTCAAGGTTTACTAATAAGCATGATGTAATCAATTATTTTACCTTTTTTGTTTTAGTTTTTTGAAAGTTTTATTATGTAGTTCAAAATAACCTCAAAGTTGGGATCTTCTTGCCTCAGACTCCCAAGTGCCATGATTAACAAGCAAGTAGTACCACACTTGGCATAATCAAATTACTTAATGCTTTTTCCTCCCTAATACAGTTGGTTGCTTGCTTTTTTAAATTTTTTTCCCCTTAGATTAAAACATTAAACCAAAAGGACTTGCTGACAGAGAAAATATTCAAGATGGAAACAGCCATGGGAAATGAGAAAAAAAAAGCTAGATGGATTTACTCAGAACCCAAAGAAGGCCAAAGACCACTGGAACTGGAAACTTTTCTTCAAGAAATTTTTGAGAGTAGGTTTCTTGGGGATGAACCCATGCACTTGACTCTTCTCCTAAGACTATCCCAGGACCTGGCATTTGGGGACTTTATCGGGAGCCCTGTATGATTTAAGTCAGGAAAGTTATTTATTTCCCTTCTTGGTTTCCATTCACAATGATCCCCCCCCAAGTTCTAAACCTTCAAGACTGAACCTATTGGTCATGATGATAAGCTCTTAAGAAGCCTAGACACACTCTACATGACGAGCCTGCAGAAGCCAAACTGTACCAGAATATACTTACAACATCTGTAGGCAGCAGACTCAAGTCATTCAGCCAGCTGCCTGCCAGCCACCACCCCAGACCCAGGTCTTCTGGTTCCAAGTGCTCTTTCTGGTGCATTAGGCTCTCTTCCACCAATCATGAGAATATGCACTTGCCAGATTTGGGGAAGTTTCGTCCAACTGCCAGGGGAAAAAAACGAGAGTAGAAAGCAACTTGAACACCAATCATTCCTATGGCCAGCTTGAGAAAATCTGGGTGACTTAAGGCCTATGGAAGCACAACCAGGTGACATGACGCTGCTTTTGGGAGCAGTGCCAGTCAGTCACCAACCTAAACCAAGCACCAAGCAAACACGATATATACTTTAAAGCTCACTCTGCGAGTGAAGGTTCTTCGGCTAGGATTGTTCTGTGTGGAGTTCAAGTAGCATAACTGCAATGAGCAAATTACCTCGAAAGCTAATAATTGGCCCCAACTTAGTGTGATGCTGGGGATGAACCCAAGGCACTGCACACACCAGGCATACACTTGCTCTACCCCAGCTCTCTTCTTTAAAAAGTGAACAATACACTTCTTTGACATCCCACACCACCCACTGCCCTTCACCTCGGCCGTCCCACACTTCTACAAATCAATCTCCAAAAATCTAGCAAAGAGGAACGGTCTTTGGCACTTTTTAATAAATCTAATGATCATACAAACTTAACACACAGGATACCACCCCACCCCACCCCACCAACTGAAAAAAAGCTCTCAGGGAGGCAACTTTGGTATCAAAATCCCCAATGTCTCAAGCAGAATGACACAGCCAATGCTCCACAATACACTGAGCCTGCAGGGAATGAACTTGGTGTTCTGAAATGATAGAGATAGAGGTTACTTCTGCAAGAACTCCCCAGTCCCTGCTTCAGCTTGTGTTTACTTTTGTACCTAGATGAAGAGGTTCATCCTAGAAGAAAGAGGTCTGAGGTTTGTGACACCGAAGCAATACTAAAGGTAAGTAAACTCAACCACACTGACACGTAAGCAGGGTTAAAGCATGACTTCTTGAAAAAAGAAAACAAAAGGCCGAGCCAGGTGCGGTGGCAGATGCCTCCAGCACTTGAGCAGATCTCTTTTTTGAGTTCAAGGCCAGGCTGGTCTACAAAGTGTGTCCTGGCCAGCCAGGGCTACACAGAGATACCCTGTCTTAAAAAAAAAAAAAAAAAAAAAGCGGCAGTGGCAGTGGAGAATCATGACTGCATCCTTTCCAGCCATCCTCAAGAAACTAATTCAGAACTAGAGGAGTCTTGGTGAGCAGCAAGCCCTTATCAAACAACATGGTTGCCAAGGAAAGCTGGTCCTGCACACTGTCACAGGGCAGGTCCCCAACTCTCACAAACTCTGGGTAGGAGCAAAGCAAGAGTTCCATGGCATCAGCTTGCTGGGGGTAGATTTCCAAACACTTGGGTTCTTCCAGGTGATAAACCCGGGAGTTTTCCACTGTGTAATACAGAAACAAACGGCCTCCTTCGCCCACCAGCCGAGCTATGCCATCCTGAAGCATATGGACTTCTGTTTCTGTTGTCAACTCGGCTCCCACATTCACAGGTTGTCCAGCCTCCCAGCGAACCGGGAGCCCGTGAACACTTAGCGCCCTTTCCCTCTCAGTCAACACAGGGGGCAGGGAGTCGTGGATGAAGTCTTTGGCCCTCTGGTCAGCCACAGCATCGACAGGAGCAAAGTGTCCCAGGCGGGCAACCAAGACCCGAACCTTCTCCATGAAAGCCATTCGCCTGGGATCCTTCGAATCTGAATGCTGGGCCCCCATATAATCCATGAAGTCTCGAGGCAGGCCCCTGCGGAACTCCACATTTTCTTCTACTGCTGCCTGCACTGCCAGAGGCAGCACAGCCTCCAGGAAGTCACCCCACGTATTGCGCTGGTAGGTGGACAAGGTGAGGTGCAGAGAGTGGACTCCATCCTGACATTCAGCTTGATGAATGAAGCCTCGAGGAAAATAGAGCAGGTCTCCAGGTTCTAGCACCGTCTGCAGTATGGGCTCACCCAGGTCCTCCTGGCTGAAATTGGGGCTAGATGTCAAGGGCAGCTCCTCACTTGGGTCCCGAGGTCGGTAGACCCGCCAGAGTTTCCGACCTTCCAGCTGCAACACGAAAGCCTCAATGTCGTCGTAGTGGGGAGCAAAGCCCTGCGAGTTGGGGGGCGTGAGGTATACGTTGGAGCCTGCCATGCTCCCAAACTGTTCCTGGAGCACAGCCAAAAACTGCCACACGGTGGGCGAGAAAGCCTGCGGGCAGAGAAGGCGCAGAGAGCAGCCGGCCCGGTACAGAGACCAGGCAGCAGCGGGAAGAGCACGGCCCGGTGGGTTCAAGGTCTCCCGCCGCCCATCGACGTAGCGCGCGGCATCCAGGTGCTGCCCGAACTGCACGTCCTCATGGCGCAGCATGGAGTCCAGGTCTGAGGTAGAGAACAGGCCTTTGTAGTAGCTGCGGTCCTCCCGCCGCACCAGCACCGCCTCCCGCTCCCACAGCCGCCGGTAGAAGTGGTCCGGCGGCAGCGGCGCCAGGAGCCACTCGAAGAGGCGGGCGGCGCGCCTCCGGCTGCTGGGGATGCCGTCCAGCTCCGCCAACACCTGCTGCAGCGGCGAATCCCAGGGCCGCTCGGGGCCGTCCACGTGCGGGCCCGGCGGCGAAGCGGAGGTCCCCAGGTCGCGGGGACGAAAGGCCCGGCCCTCTACCCCGCGCGGCACGGACGCCAAGGCCGCTCTCGGGGGCACCGGCACCGGCATGGGCACCGGCACCGGCACGGGCACCGGCCTCGGCCCCGCCTCCCTCCGCTCGGCAGGCCCCTCCCGCTCGGCCGCGGCCGACTCCACCTTCGAGTCCGGGTCCTCGCTGGGCGGCGCGCGGGCCCTCGGCGCGGCCACGCGGGACGCCGCGCTTTTCCGGTGCCTTCGGATCTTCCGGGGTCGCAAGGGCAGGGCCAAGACCGAGCCGCCGAGGGCCTGCGGCTGGCGCCGGCGCCTTCCCCGCCCTCGCCTCAGCAGCGCCGCGCTGCTCCAAAGCTCGTCCATGGCGTGGCGGCACAGCACCCGGAATAGCGGAGCGGACGGGGCGTTCCCGCAGCCGAGCTGCTTTCTGGGAAGGGGGCGGGTCCTCCTACCGCCCTAGGTAGGCCACGCCTGCCGCCGTCGTGGGTCCTACGGCTGGCCCGCTTGGTCACCTTGTTTTTTTTAATTTAAATAACTTATTTATCTTTATTTTATGTGCACTGGTGTTTTGATTGAATGTATGTCTGTGGGAGGGTGTCGGATCCCCTGGGACAGGCGTTTACAGACAGTTGTGAGCTGCCGTGTGGGTGCTGGGAATTGAACCAGGTCCTCTGGAAGAGCAGCCAGTGCTCTTAGTCACTGGACCAGCCCCTAGTCACCTTTTTAAACCACGTGGTACACACTGGAAAGAGGAAACTCCCTTCTAGATAAAGATTCCATGTTAAAAAAAAAAAAAAAAAAAAGGCACGAGGCATTCCAGAAGAAAACAGGTTCATCCCTCCTGCCCCCTATTTTTTTGGTCTGTTTTTTTTGAGACAGGATCTATCAACAGTAGCCCTAAATACATGGTCTTAGAACTTGCTGTGTTCTTTTTCAATCTGCTTTTCTCATGTCCGTGGCAGGTGTTTTTCTTCCTAAACGGTTTCCAGGTAGAATGAGTGACGTCAAAGTTTGATATTCTGTATGAATCACAGTTCTTACAATTCTCTTCACCACAGGAAAAGAAAAAAAGAAAACTTTATTGTTAAGCCTTTCTCCATTTCATTTCTCTCTTTCTTTCCTCAGTTACAAATCCTTGCCAAGTATGGTGGTTCATGCCGGTAATCCAGCACTTGGAAGGCTGAGGTTACATGGGGGAGACCCTTGTGATCAGCATTCTTTCTCAGGAAAGGAAGTTATGAACTTTTCTGCTTTTGTTTGTTTAACAGTGTTTTTGCTACCTAGTCCATCTTAGCCTCAAACTCCTGGACTTGCCTCAGTCTGGGACCGCAGGCGTGTCCAGTAGGAGGTTGTTTCTGTTTCTCCTCCTCCTCTTCTTCAAGCTTCTTGGCATTTTTTAAAAAGGGGAGGAGGGGGGTCAGAGAAGGGAGGAGAGAGAGGAGAGATTTTGTGTGTGTGTGTGTGTGTGACGTGTGTGTACCACCATGCCTGGCAGAACAGAGTTCTTGCGTCGGCCATCCCACGGATGGGGTCCTGGATTGGGTAAGAGAAGAAAAGCAAGCATTCCACACAGCAGTCAGTATTCTCTGCCCCTGACTGGGGTTGGGTGAAGTGTGGCTGGCTGCTTCCTGCTCTTGAAACCGTGCCTTTCAATCGTGATGGAATGTAAGTCCGCATAAATCCTTCTTTTCAGGTATTTTTGGCACAGCAAGGAGAAAATTTCTGTAAAAAAAACAAAACAAAACAAAAAAAAAAAAAAAAACACTGATATAGGGCCCTATCAGACAAAGCCATCCTGAGAGGCTGTGAAGGGGCTGCTCAGCAGAGGAGTAGGGTCTTAAAGCAGTCAGCATCCTCCTGAGTCCTGTGCACCAGTAGAAGGCTGCAGGCCTGGAAGGAGGCCTCAGGAGAACTAGCCTTCTCTTTTAACAACCACTATTGTTGCTCTAAAATTTAATTTAAAAGTTATTATTTTTTTTTGAGATTCCTTTTGTGTATTTGGGGGGGGGGGGTTTCACCTGCTGATGTGTCTATGCACCACGTGTCTTGAAGAGGGCACCAGATCCCCCTTGGAACTGGAGCGTAGCTAGTTTTGAGCTGCTGAGTTAAAGCTAGGGTGCTTGCCGTCGAACCCAGGTCCTTTGAAAGAGCAGTTAGCGCTTTTAATGACTGAGCCACCTCCCTAGCCCTGAGAGCTGTGTACATTGCAAGAACCCTGGTATTAGGTCCCCTGGGTAGATGCAGACAGAGGGCAGGTCGTACTTAATGTATTTGGTCATTTGACTTAAAAGAGTGGTTTCTGGGTGACAGAGTGCACAGCCTGTAGTGAACTTGGAGATGCACCGGGCTTCTCTGCCTGCAAGGCCGAGGACTCTGCTTAGCTCCTAGAAAACTCTAATAAGTTTGTCATTTCCCCGAGCTGTACAAATATCTTCTCCTCCCAGTCTTTCCTGTGACCTCATCCCTTTCTTTTTTTGAACACGTTGTGATTTCCTTAAATAAAGAGTCTTGCTGCTATCTCTGTCTTCTCATTTCCCTTGTAGCTGGGAGTTGCCTTTTGGGATCTGACTTATCTTTAATTTCATCACTTTTCCTGTGGCTCTGCTTGGTTCTCACTACAGAAGGAGCTATTAATAACCATTTCCATACGTGTGTTTCACTGAGTGACTTGAAATAACGTCCTTAATCCATTGGGGAGGTTGCTGCTGTGGCATAGGCTCTCTCATTCTGTAGCCCATTGTGGCTTGGAATTCACTCTGTAGCCAGGCTGTCCTCAAATCCATGGCGGTCCTTTTATCTCAGCCTTCCCAGTACTGAGATGCAGGCAAGAGGCACCATCTCTGTCTCTGTAATATTTTTATGAATGGGATTAGAGAGAGGGAAACCAGGCAAAACAAGAACGACATCAGGATTTGTCTAGGGTTTACATGTGCCAGTATTATATGCATATACTAATCTGTACATAATACAGAAAAGTAGAGGAAACTGTTATACTGTGGCAATCTAACAGTGATTATTATTGGTGAATCCTAGTATAAACTTTGGAGGATAAGCCACCATTATCAGAAGTCACTATTGGGTTTCCTCAATTACATCTACTTCCAACAATTAATCCTTTCAAAACATTCACCCAGGGGCTAGAGAGATGCCTCAGCAGTTAAGAATGAACCACTGCTCTTTCAGGGGACCGGAGTTTGGTATCCAGCACTCATGTATGTAGCTCACACAGCCTGTAACTCCAGCTCCGAGATACCTGACAGCCTCTCCTGGTCCCCAGAGTCACACAGACACACACACACAGAGAAAGAGATAACAAAATATATCTTAAACAAGGAAGAAAAATGTAAAAATTATTTCTGTGTTGTGCATCTGTAGTTCCAATTATTTAGGAGGCTGAAGTTGGAGGATCACATGAGTCAACAGGTTCCAGACCCACCTGGCAAAATAGTGAGATTCTGTCTCAAAAGAAAAAAAAATCTCACATGCACAAATATACTGCATGAATGCTCACTGTTCATGGTTTCAAAACTGCCTATCAAGAGACAGTCCAGTTTTTTGTTGTTGTTATTGTTTTTTGTTTTTTTTTTTTTTTTTTTTTTTTTTTGATACTGGGTTTGTCTGTGTAGCCCTAGCTGTCCTGGAACTCCCTCTATAGACCAGGTTAGCCTCCAACTCAGAGATCTGCCTGCCTCTGCCTCCCGAGTGCTGGGACTAAAGATGTGTGCCGCCACCGCCCAGCTGAACTTTCGGAGACATTTTCTCCACTGAGGTTTCCTCCTCTCGGATGACAAGCTTATATCAAGTTGACATAAAGCTAGCCAGGACAAGCAGGCATGTAGAGGTCAGAGGGCAACTTACAGAAGTCAGTTCTCTCTCTCCACCGTGTGAGTCCTGGGGACCAAACAATAAACAGGCAAGCTAGCCCTTCAAATCACCATGCAAACAGCCAAACTGTTAAGTGAGCGGTTCAGGCCTCTTCTCCATGTTAGGCTGGCCAGAGTCAAGGGAGACGGGTTTCTCTCTTCTTACTGAATTTAGCAGCTTCCACCTACTCTAATAACCTGGTTAAGGAGGCTTCCCCTTGGCCTGCTTGCTCACGTGAGACTGTTAATATTTCTCTGCAGTCTGTGATGCCCCGAGTGCCACATGCCTGGCTGCAGAGTCCTGTCATAAAATTCCACACAAACAAAAGTCGCTCACCGTATTTCAAGGATCTTCGGACTATCCGGGAGAAAAGGATTGAAAGAGGGCCCTTTGGATCCGACTCCGATCTCTAGCTGGACGAATTCCTCAGAGAAGACTGTCAACACCAAGTCTTCTCTCCGCCCATGTGGAGGAAGCTGCTCCTGTCTAGGCTGCCTGGCTCTCCTGCAGTAGACAGGCTGTGTTCTGTCTCTTCCACTGAACTGTCCAATGTTCTCGCTATGCTTACAAAGATAAACTGTTTATCAACATCTTTACTATTGTTGTTGTTGTTGTTTAGGTTTTTTGTTTGGTTTGGTTTGGTTTGGTTTAGTTTGAGACAAGTCGCTCTGGCTGCCCTGGAACTTACTCTGTAAACCAGGCTGGCCTCGGACTCAAAAGATCCACCTGCCTCTGCCTCCCGAGTGCTGGGATTATAGTGGGCATGTGTCAATGTGTCATCCTGCCAAGTGTATTATTATTATTATTATTATTATTATTATTATTATTATTATTATTATTTGAAATCAGGTCTTGCTGTGTAGCCCAGGCTGGCCTGGAATTTACTATATAGTCCCAGTTAAATACAAACTTGCAATCCTCCTGCATCATCCAGAGGATGGCACTACAGGTGTGTGCCAGCATGCCTGATTACTCTAGTTTCCTTTTCTTGTATGGGGTGGTGGGAGGTTACTAGAGATTCAATAAAGGGCCTCACACATTAGAGGCCAGTTCTCTGCCACTAAACTACAAGCCTAGCCTCCTCCCCCATACCTCTCTCTCTCCATTTAAGATGGGGTCTTACTATATCATCTTGGCTGATCTGGAATTCTCAATGTAGACCAGGCAGGCCACAATCTCATAAAAATCTACCTGCCTCTGTCTCCCAAGTGCTAGGATTAAAGACATGCACCGTCATATCTGATCCTTTTTAACTTTTGAAGTTTTGAGACAGTGTTTATTCCATTGTCCAGCCTGGCATTGTTGACTTCACTCTATAATCCAGGCACATTTTTGTCTTGGCCTCCCTAATAGCTGGGATTACAGATCTGTGCCACCAGGCCTGGCTGTCTGCTCGATTTCTTGTGCTCTGTTTACACAGGATTAAAGAACATTGGCTCCACACTAAGTGACAGGGTGTATTTTTCCACATTCTTGAAAGGTCACGTCCTAAATACATGTCAGATCTACAAATCTTACAAGAGTAGAAGTATGAAAGACTCAGAATTGTTCACAAGAATAAATTGCTCTCTGAAACCCAAACTAGAATCTTGTGTGTTTAGGAAAGAAACATCTGACATCTGTGTGTGTGTGTGTGTGTGTGTGTGTGTGTGTGTGTGTGTCTAATGTGTGTGTATGTCTTCATGTCCAGTTTCGTTCTACAGAAAGTTCCTTCATGGCAGCTCACCGGGCAATATAAAGGCATTATTACAGGACCATTACTAAAAGTAAAATATGCCAACACAACCTCTTCACACTGCCCTGCTGTGGAAACAAGATTAGTTCCCTAGGACACAACTCCAGAACTTCCCCAGGCCAGTTAGCAATCTCATGCACTTCAATATATGTAATGCTTTAAAGATTTAGGCATGGAGGAGCAGCTGAAATCTGTATCTGTGTCAAAAGATGTGATTCTGTAAGTACAGCTGATACCCAAAGTAGCCATGGAAAAGGAGAAACGCCATATATAAAAGAGCTGTGAATAATAGCTCTTCCCTAAATAGTGATTGTTATTTATACCCTAAGAAGCACTGGAACATCAGCAATGGGAATAATGGCAGTACGGCTGGGCATGGAGGCCCATTTCTTTAATTCTAGCATTTGAGAGGCAGAGGCAGAGGCAGGCAGATCTTTGTGAGCCCAAGGCCAGCTAGGGCTGCATATTGAGGTCCTGGCTCAGAAAGAAAGGTAGAGAAGAGAGGGAAGAAGGGACAGATGGGGGAAGGAAGGAAATAATAGCAGTGTGGAAATAATACCACTCCCCTAACACACACATTTTCTCTTCTAGTAGCATTATCAGCATTAAACTACGAAAAAACAATGTTCCCCCGTGAACTCTTGACTTGGGAGAGACTTGGGAAATAGCAATTAACTGCATACAAGAAAATGTTTTCTTCCTTTGAACCTTTGATGCAACCCAAACACTTTTTATTTATTGTTATTTTTGTAGTGCTGAGATCAAACTCCAGACCCTGAGCATGATAAGGAAAAGCTGACTAACGTTCCCAGTTCCGTGTTTTTATCTCCTAGTTTATACATTCCATCTAAATGAAATGCTAACCTAAGATGTACCATATCAAAGCTATTTCCACATCTAACCTGAGGATCCCAAGCTCTGGCTCCCAGGAGAGATTGGAGACAATGAATGATTCTGTGCGTGTACTTTCTCATCCCCTCTGTCTGTCGTTTAATAGTGAAAGGGCTTTATTGTGTACCCTTTGTGTTGCTGGCAAGACTTTGAGAGCTGAACCGTACTCTCCAGTCAGCAAGGCAGCAAGGCCATACAGAGGGTCTCTTAGGCCATCAGCAGTACGGGAGATGAAGCAGGAACAGAAGAAACAGCTCTTGTTCTCGAGGAGTTTACAAGGGGTTTTTATAATAGACACATACAAGATTCTTTCAGGACAATATGGTGGTACTTGTGCGGCACAAAGCAGATGTGCTAAAGGAGATCAGGGGAGGAGGGATCTGGAGAGATCCTGAGAGCCTGGGAACTTTTATCAGATCTGAGACTGTGCAGAGAGGCAGAGGACCTTCCAGGTGAGGGGAAAGATGAAAGAAAAGGCTAGAGGAGGAATGTGGACAGCAGAAGCCGACAGCAGCCTCTTTCTCTCCTCTGGCTTCCAAAGTTCACTTGTATCTTTGCAGCAGAGGACCTAGTGTCCCTTTGCCTAACCCTTGTGGTTTTGCTTATCTCTTCATACTGACAAAATGTTGTAATGATAAAACAGCACAGAATGCCAGGACCATTCATAAAGGGCCTACCGCTCCTGGCTGGCTGACTTCCTTTTCTTATAGAATGTCTCCGCTGACTCTTTTTCATCCATCCTCTCCATTTCTTCCTTTTCATGAACTCACTGGTTGACTAGATCAGTGGCTTCTCCCTACCCTGACATAAAAAGGAGGCTTCTGTTTGGCTCAACATGCAAACAGCAACAGCTACCCACTCTGACCCATTTTTTAAATCATTGTTGTGTGATTAGTACATTAATTTAGTGTGTGTGTGTGTGTGTGTGTATTGGATAAGTGTCATGACACAAGTGGTGGTGGTCAGAGGGACAACTTTTGGAAGTCAGTTCTCTCCTCCAAACCATGTGTGACTCCCAGGGATCAAACTCAGTTCATCAAGCTTGGCAGCGGGCACCTTTCCCAACTAAGTCATCTAACTGACCCCACCATTGCTGTTTTTTTTTTTTGGGGGGGGGGGTCGAAACAGGAGTTCTTTGTGTAGCCCTGACTGTCCTGGAACTCGCTCTGTAGACCAGGGTGTCTTGAATTCAGAGACACCCACCTGCCTCTGTCTCCCCAGTGCTGGGATTAAAGGCATGGTGCCACCACTGCCCGGCTCCTCTATGGCTTTTTTTTTTTTTTTTGTACTTTCCTTTTTGATGTAGGAGTGCTCTGTCCGCGTGTACACCTACATGGCAGAAGAGGGCATCAGATCCCTTTATAGATGGTCATGAGCCACCATGAGGTTGCTGGGAATTGAACTCAGGACCTCTGGAAGAGCAGACAGCATTCTTAACCATCTCACCAGCTCCCTTTTAGTTATTTTTTTTTTTTTGTAATTTTTTTTTTTTTTTAATGTGTATTGGTGTCGGCTCTCCAGGAACTTGAGTTGTGAGCTGCAATGTAGGTACTGGGAATTGAACCTGGGTCGTCTGGTAGAGCAGCCAGTACTCTTAACTGCTGAGCCATCTCTCCAGCTCCCACCATTGTTTCTTAGTGAGCTACGCTATCAGTAAACATTTACTAACTACAAGGGCTCATAGTCGTCATGTGTGGTGGCTTGAATAGGGATGGCGCCATAAACTCATGCATTTGAATCCTTGGCCACAGGGAGTGTCACTCTTGAGAGGTGTGGCCTTGTTAGAGGAAGTGTGTCACTGTGGGGGCGGGCTTTGAAGTCTCCAATGCTCAAGCTCTGCCCAGTGTGACACACAGTCCCCTTCTGCTGCCTTTGGCTCAAGATGTGGAACTCTCAGCTCCTCCTCCAGCACCATGTCTGCCTACACACTGCTGTGTTTCCCCACCGTTATGATAATAGACTAAACTTCTGAAACTCTAAGCCAGTCCCAATTAAATGTTGTCCTTTATAAGAGTTTCCGTGGTCATGGGGTCTCTCCATAGCAATAAAACCCTCACTAAGACACCATGGCTATGTCAGGAGGTAGAAGACCGGCCGAGGATGAAGCTCAGTCAGTACAGTGCTTGGCTAGCATGCATGAAGCCCTAGGTTTGCTCCCCAGCATTGCATGAAATGGGCGTGGTGGCGTTCACCTGTGATCCCAGCGCTCAGCAGGTGAAGGCAGGAAGATCAGAAGTTTAAAGTCCTCCTCAGCTGCACAGCCTCATCCAACGGCACTACATAGTGAGTTCTAGGCCATCCTGATGTACATAAGATCCTGTCTCAAGAACAAAAATTCTATATTGAGAGATGGTGGGCGTAGCTCAACGGTAGAACTCTCTTGCCTAGCATGTATGAGACCCTAGGTTCAATCCATAGACCATAGACGTACACACACACACACACACAAAGTATATTTCATGACAAAAAAAATCAGTTTTTGTGTGAAATTTTCCCGGAGCTGAATGTTGGCAATTAATTGAAAAATATTGAAAGCACTGCCAACTAGCACTGAGCCAAAAATATCTGTGGGCCAAGTTCAGTCCTCTGGATGAGTTTGTGACCCCCGATATAGCCTTTTCATTGGATGAGTTTCTAGACTACTGCTCACTTGGCTGAACCTTAGTTTCCTCAACCTGCTCTCACATGCTGCCAAGAACCAATCAAAGACGCATTCACCATAAAATTCGGGGAAATCGTCCTAGCAATTACTTGAGCATGGCGTTGGCAGGCTCTGGCCTGGTCTCTATGTGTCATTAAGAGATGCAGCCTCCCTTCCTGACCCAGAAAGGCCCTGTTCATTTCCTGTGTCTGAAATGAGCTTCAGTTTGTACCGGATGGGAATGGAACAAATCCTTGCTCTTCTTTCTGTTCTTTCAAGATCATTCATCCTCTGAGGAACGCTGCAGGAGGCCGAGTTAGCCAAAGGACTCAGATCTCAGTGTTTGGACCCGTTTGTCCCTGCTACCCAGTGCCTAGCAGATAAGTGTGCCTCAGATAAATAAGTGTTAGCACAGTCTACTCTTTCCTGGGCCTCAGTAGCGGGTGGTTCATTTAATCTGTGTTGTCTCTAATATATTCCTGATCTTTCTCTCTCTCTTTCTCTCTCTCACACACACACATACACACATACACAACACACACACACAGAAGTTTAATGTTTATCTTGTAGTAATCTGATTCACAATTAACCTTACACTACTAATTTAACCATTAGTAGAATAATAGAGTTTAAAACTCATGAAGTTCAAACTCATGAGTTTAGAGAGAGGATCAGGAAGTCAGGGCCTTCCTTAGACCATGCAATCCCACCAACCCCAACCCCAAGGTCTTTGCAGATATTCAGCTCACAGGCGGGGCAAATCCTTACTGACCCTTACTTAGACTCCTGTATGCAGAAGCTCTTTGGGGAATATTAGACTTCTAAAGACCTATGCAAAGTCAGCATCAGATGTGAGGGATATGGGAGACTCCAGCTCAAATTCTCTCTGCCTGCTCTGTGACTTTGCAGCAATCACCTTACCCTTTGGGTTTTATATTCTTCGATCATAGAATAATAATTAAGAGAATAATAAATAATTACCTCACGGGCCACTGCGGTACTTCTTAACCATATATGTGTGAGCATGTGTGTGACGTGTCTGTGTGATGTGAATGTGGATATGATGTACCTGTGTGTATGATATGATGCATATGTGTTGAGAGAGGGTCTCCTGTAGCTCAGGATGGCCTTGAACTTTTGATTTTATTTTCAAGTGCTGGAATCACAGCTACCAACACCATGTCCAGCATCTGGTTACATATTAAAATCACTTTTTAAAAAATTATTTACTTGTTCATTATGTATACAGCGTTCTGCCCGCATGTGTGCCTGTACACCAGGAGAGGGCACCAGATCTCATTATAGATGGTTGTGAGCCACCATGTGGTTGCTGGGAATTGAAGTCAGGACCTTTGGTAGAACAGCCAGTGTTCTTAACCTCTGAACCATCTCTCCAGCCCTAAAACCACTTTTTGAAATGGCACTGATAAGCCGGGCTGTGGTGTTGCATGCCTTTAATCCCAGTACTCAGGGAGCCACCGACAGCTGGATTGCTTTGAGTTCGAGGCTGGCCTGGTCTACAGAGTGAGTTCCAGGACAGCCAAGGCTACACAGAAAACCCTGTCTTGAACCAAACCCCCAACCCCGCCAAAAAAAAGCCACCGCTAATTTTTTTTTAATTGCGATGGGAGAGGCAGACACAGAGCTATACCTCCTACAAGTTAAATCAGAATGTCTCAGAAGGTGAGATCCAGACATCAACATGGTTCTCTTTAATAGTTTATTTGTTTGTTTTAAAAGATTTATTTATTTACTTGTGTATGAGTGCTTTATCTGCATACACACCCAGATGCCAGAAGAGGGCATCATATCCCACTATAGATGGCTGATGAGTCACTATATGGTTGCTGGGAATAGAACTCACAACCTCTGGGAAAACAGACCTCACCACTTCACCACTGAGCCACCTCTCCAGCCCTTGTTTGTTTTAAGGCAGGGTCTCACTATGAAGCCTTGGCTAGCCTGGAGCTCACTATTTAGACCAGGCTGGCTTTGAACTTACACAGATCCACCTGCCTCTGCCTCTGGAGTGCTTAGATTAAAGTTGCATGCCACCAAGCCCTCTATTAGCAGATTTTAGAAAGCTTGACAAGTCATTCTAATACACAGCCAAGTTTGAAAATCACCGATGGGAGTTAAATCGTGTTCCCTACATAAAAGCAGGTGCTGTGTTTCTGCCTAGTGATCCCCCCCCAAATTCAATTTCAAGCCAGCACTTAACTACACTTCCGGCCCATGTTATGAAAACACACCACTAGATGTCAGTTTGCCCATATAAGTCAGTTCCTGATAGCTTCTGGTTGTCTGTTCTTAGGGTACCGACTAAATCCCATCAACCTACAGTATGCCAGGCACAGCTCCAGGGACTCTTAAAACGTGACCTCTAGTTGTTTTATGAGCAAGCAAAGTATGTGCTGTCGTAATCTCTCGGAAGGCGAGGGTCGAAGATTCTATGACGTGCCAGGCATGTTGCTGGTACATATCTGCAACCTTAGCATGCAGCAGGCTGACACAATAAGGGCCCAAGTTAGAGACTAGAGTGGCCTACACCGACCGCACCGTGAAAGTCAGCCTGAGCTGCTTAGATTTCTTCTCAAACAACAACAACAAAACAAGTAAAGTGCTTGAGGATCCGAGTTCAGTTCCCAGCATCCACAGAAAAGCTGGGCAAGGCATCTGTGGTCCCAGTATTGCAGCTATAAAGACAGGAGGATCCAGGACTTGCAGGCCAGTCACAGTCTCGTGAGCTCCAAGCTAATGGAGAGCCCCTTGAGTCTGTCCAGGTGTGCTGGCTAGTTTTATGTCAACTTGACACAAGCTGCTGTCAGCAGAGTGGAAGGAGACTCAATTGAGAAAAATGTCTCCACTAGGTCAAGCTGTAGAGCATTTTCTTAATTAATGATTGATCTAGAAGGGCCCAGCCCATTGTGGGTGATGCCATTCCTGGGCTGGTGGTCCTGGGTTCTATAAGGAAGGCTGCGCAAGCCATGAGAAGCAAGCTAGTGAGCAGCACCCCTCCATGGCCTCTGCATCAGCTCCTGCCTCTAGGTTCCTGCCGTGCCTGAGTTTCTGCCTTCATTACACCTGATGGTGACCTGTTATATGGAAATGTGAGTGAAATAAACCCTTTCCTCCTCAAGCTGTGTTTCATCATGGTGTTTCATCACAGCAGCAGTAACCCTAACTAACACACCAGGCTTGTTGGTATGCATTTTTAAACCCAGCACAGGCAGAGGCAGGAGGATCTTCGCAAGTGAAAGGCCAGCCAGATCTCTATGTGAGACCTCAATTTTCTTTCTGTTTTTTTTTTTTAAAAAAAAAAGGTCAAAAGCAATCAAGAAGACACCTGACAATGACCTCTGCACCCTCCCCCCAAACATATAAACACAAACATACATACACACAAAGATCCTGTGACTTTTACAAGAGAATAGGAAGTGACTCCTGTAATTCAAGCTTCATTCATGAACTGATTTTGAATGAAACACAAACCCTTGGTGTGTACAAGACTCTGTGTAGCCACAGAACAATCCCACTTGTTCCTGTGACGGTGTGACCAGGAATGACTTCTGCCAAGGTCATTCGGTCTGGTAAGCACTATGCACATAGTCCTCGTCCTCTGAGCATTTGCATCTTTCACATCTAGGTGAATTGAGAGGGGAAGGAGTGTGCGATCTTGCACTGCTGTTTTTGGCCTCACGTTTGAAAGAACAGAAATGCTGTGTTCCTAAAGGAATGAAAAATGACTTTTTAACAGGTCCCCTGAGCTAGCTGCTTCACTAACTTCAGCCACTAGAACAAAATACAGTTTCCTGTTGGTAGTGTTTTTTGTTGCTGGTTTGGTCTTTCAAGACAGGGCTTCTCAGGGTAGCCTTGTCTGTCCTGGACTAGCTCTGTAGACCAGGCTGGCCTCAGACTCACAGAGATCTGCCTGCCTCTGCCTCCCCTGCTGGGATTACAGGCGTGTGCACCACTGCACCTGGCCTAATTAGAATTTTTTTTAAAAAGATGTATTTATTGTATTTTTCATGAGCATTTTTTTCTGCATGCACGTATGTACAGTGTACAATAATGCATGCCTGGAGGCATCAAATCCTCTGGAACTGGAGTTATGAAAGGCTGCAAATGTTATGTGGGTGCTGGGAACTGAACCCAGATCCTCTGCAAGAGCAGCAAGTGCTCTTAACAGTAGAACCATCTCTCTAGTCCAAAAAGTTTGTTTTCTGTTTGTTTGTTTGTTTGTTTGCCTTCTAGATTGCTAAGAGACTGGAAATTTTTTATTCTGATGTTTTACCAGTATTTAATTTATTTATTTATATCCTTAGCAATAAAACATTGGCCTAGAGAATATACTTAAAATATTTTTATTAATCTGTGTGTGTGTGTAGGTGGTCAGAGGACAACTTTTTTTTTTTTCAAGAGTTAAAACAACATGCTTTATTTAACAGTTGCAGGTGATCCCATGAGTCAAGTGGTGGATATCCAGGACTCAGCAAGATCAGCGCAAGCTTCTCTTTCTGACTCCAACAGGGTGAACACATCACCCTCTCGAACTGGGTCTTTGACGTTTCGGATGATAGAGCAGCTGGTGTCATTCATAAATTCCACACGCACCTGCGTGCACTCTCTCTTCCTATCGGTTCTGCCCAGCATTTTGGTTACCCTGGCCAGCTTGATAGGCTGCACATGACTCGTGTCCATGATGGCGGCGATCTGGCAGAGAGCCAGAGGACAACTTTTGGGAGTCAGTTCTCTCCTTCAACGGTGGGACCTGGGGATAGGAATCAGACTGTCAGGCTTGTGGTCAGGCAAGAGGTTTGACCCACCTTGACACCTAAGAATGTATGTAATTCTTAGTCAAGAAATAGTTCCTGAATAAAAGAATGCCTCTTAAACTGTACAAAAGGAGCCATGAGGGAGTGTGCGGAGAAGTGTACCCCTTTTTTGAGTAAGCAGCTCTGAAAACTTTCTTCCAAAAGTAGCAGCTCTTGTTCTCCAAGCCCCTTGACTTATGCCAGGGGTGGGAGGGGCTCACAGAGCTTAAAGGACGGCCCTATCTGAGCCAGGGAGCGGAAGACAATGACACTGCTTCATTTGACCTACAGATTCAGAACCTAATGGCTGCTCTGGAGCTTGTTCCCAGGTCACCAGCTCTTTCTGTCTCTGAATTGTCACTTACCAACCACGCAGCTGCTTGCAATGATTAGCAGGTTGGGGCAGATCTATGGCCCATCCAATGGTTTTTGTTTTTCACCTTGGAGGACAGGTTATTCAGGTTATAATTAGATCCCTGAACCCTAGTTTAACCAACTACATAGAAATCCCTAGAACTAGGAGAGGAGCCTGGGGTTCCCAATGTTGCAAAGTATCTCCTTAATGATCCACACAACCTCGCTCATTCACGGTTTTATAATTCATGAATTTTCTCAGATATGTTCTCAATTCTGGTTATATTTTCTTCCGGGGTGATGACTTCTATGCTGTTTATTACCCACAGTTTAAAGCAGTATTCTCTGTCGTCTGTCTGTTTATGTATGTACATACATATATATCCTAACCCAAACTCTACTGGAGCTTAAAATGCTGTAATCCTGAGACTCAAGGTTTAAAGATGCACCCACATTCACCACATCACTTTGCCCATGGTGTTTATGGTCCTGAGATTTAGCTCCAATCTCCTGAGAGCCTGTGCCACACGCTTGGTCTCAAGATCTTTTTAGTTTACAAGGAGCATCAGCTAGACAACCTCTGTCCACTTTCGGCAAGAGCAGAAGACTTGCACGCGTCCCTAAGGTGATTATGACATGAAGTGACTGCTTCTTAGGTGGATCCCGACAAGTGTCAGCTTGTCCCAGGTCGGGATTAAAGGTCTGTTTTGAGTCTGGTCAGCCTGTCAGGATGGAATACCATTTCACTGGAGGGCTCTGTAAGACAGGTGTCCCTTTGGAGCAACAGTCTGGAAGCTTCAGGTAACAGAGAACCCAAGAGGGGATATGATGGGAGTATTTATGACCAAGCATAAAGGGATGAAATGAACGAAGGAGGAAAACACCAAACTCATAGACCCATCAAGTGCAAGCATCTGGTTTACACATGTCACCTTATTCTCATTTGTTTATTTATTTAGGCTATTTGGCAAAAGCCACACTTGGCATCAACATTCTGGAATCTCCGGGCATCCTTCAGTGAATCAAAGTGACTTTTGCTGTTATTGTTTATTTCTTTGAGACAGAACCTTTTGGTGTGGCCCTGGTTGGCCTCTAATATGTAATAATTCTGTACTCAAGCAACCCTCCTGCCTCAGCTTCCAGAGACCCATATGTTACTAGATCTAGCCCAAGTCCTAGTTTTCAAGCAGCCTTTACGTATGTGTAAAACTCTAAGAGAGAGGGAGAATGGTCATAGCCTGTAAGTCAGTCTGGCTTGGTGAGAATCAGTCTGCTTGGAAAACTTGTTTGAATTTGGAAATTGCTATATTCCATTGATAAAGTTCAGCTTATATCTTCTATCTTCTTTCTTTTTTGCATGCACGTGCGTGCGTGCGTGCGTGTGTGTGTGTGTGTGTGTGTGTGTGTGTGTAGGCACACACACAGTGCACAAATATGGTCTATGTTCATGTGTTTGTGTCATGTATGTGCATGTATGTACGTGGGTATGCACACCTGTGTTCATGCAGAGAGTCCAGGCCAGAGAAAAACATTGGTATCCTACTGTCCACCTTCTTCCTTTGAGACAGGGTCTCTTACTGAACCCAGAGCTGCGGGGATCCAAACTGCAGGCTTTGCAAGCCATTCTTAACCCACTAAGCCAGCTCTCTAACCTATCTGCTTGTGTTCTCTAGGGACCTTGCTATTGATCCTGTAGTCAATTGACATCATTAGGAAAAAAAAAGAAAAAGAAAAAGAAAAAAAAAAAAAGCTCTTGGAATCTACCCAAGATGAAAATACTTCAGTCTCTGATTCCAATATAGGAACTCAAAAAACGCCCTGGTTCCTCTATGATCAGAACTGGAAGTAATGATAGCTTTTCCTAGCACTTCCTTTCATCTAGAAATTCAAAGCATTCTGAAAACATCGCCCAACCCCCGAGGGAGCTGATTAAGCCACATCACTGCCCTTCATCTTTTGCTTGCCGGTCCTCCCCATAAATTGTCTAGTGAGCTGGAAATAGGGTAGGCCTCCTGATCCCAGGTCTCACACTGAGCACTCGCTCCCTCTCTTGCCTACCCAATCTCGCGCAGTTTGTGATGCCCCGACAGGGCCCAGCTTTTATAGGGGCCCTGCATGAGATCTGCCAGCCTCTCAGCTGTCATCACCTCCCACTGACTGCATTTTTGGGTTCCCTGGTGTCCTGGCAACTAGGCTGTGCCTCAGCTGTCCTGGATGTGAGAAGTGTTGAAGACTCTCCAGGGGTTCTTCATGTCTCATTATCCCTCATCCCAATTTATCTCCCCCTTGACCTGGTATACTATCCCCCTTCCATCAAAGTACTGTGTCCTCCGGCTTAATTTTCCTCCTCTTCTTCTCCATCCTCCTTCTTCAGGACAGATGGCAAAAGAAAGACCATGAGCTGGGGAGGAGGGGAGAAACAGGACTGCAAGGTTTTTTGTTGTTGTTGTTCCTTTTTCTCTGACTTGCCCCTTTGTTCCCATAGAGGAACCTAGGTGAGGAACCTTGGCCTGAAAGGATGGAGTTGGAGATTAGAAGGCTGAGCCTTCTTGTCCATCACCCATCCTAAGGGAGTTAACTTGTTTTTGTCGGAGGAGAGGTGACTCAGCCCAGACCTTAGATGGGGAAATCCGCTCAAAGCCTGAAAGGGAAAGCCGCAGAAAGGCTTGGATCTTTAATTTCAGACCAGAAAGGTTTTGCTGAGTTAGAGGAAATTGAGTTCTGCCTGTTCCTGGTGTTGGCAATACAGAGGGCAGTAGGCAACTCCACAGTTTCCCAAAGGAGTGGCTCTGTCTACAGGAGCCCAACAGAAGCAGGCAGCGGGATCCCAAATTCAGTGTTGGAATGGCCCACACATATAGTTAGTGGGGAGCTTTATTTAGTCATTCTCCACCACTGTCCTTTTACCTACTAATTACTATAAGCAACAGTGATCATGATATGATAATTAGTACATGCTTTCTTTTTATTTTTTTTATACGACCCCAAAATAAATGACTGTGGCCAGGAGACAGTGCTCCTAGAGACAGTTTCTGACTCACTCATTCATTCACTAAATACTTAGTGATCTACTGATGGCTAGACCCTGAGTGAGGCAGTCACAAGTAGGGAGGAGGTGATCCTTAATTTCACAGAGCTGACACACTGGAGGATGGAGAGGAACTACAGGTGCCCTTCTCCATTCAGCGGGGTCCTGGAACTGGCTTCCAAACAAAGAACAAGGTTCCATTTCTCTCAGGGGCAGCTAGAGAGGCCTAGAAAAGCTAAACTGTAAACAGAGTGTTACAGTTTAGCTATTTTAGCATGAGATCACCAGGCCCAAAAGCCTATGACAAACACCAAAGTGTTATAGCTCTTGGTTAAGCTTCTGTGCTCACAGCAGAGTTGTGGGCAGAAGCCCATGCCTGGTCAGCTTGTAGCTGAGAGCCAAGCATGGCAAGACCTAGGCTTAGAGGGCTGGAGGGCAGACCAGGGAGACAAGGCCCGGCCGGAGATTAATGACGAATTTCAGACTGCCATGGTGGAAGGCTGTTGGCATCACGCAGCACGCAACGCCAGTGGCCCCTTTATTTGAAATCAGGAATTTATAAACCTTGGGCAGTGGGATTTCGAGGGTTGAATGTGTTTGACTCACCGGGTTCAGGGGTTCAGGGATACTTTATTTACATGTAGTGATATAGTGCCTCATTTTCTGTGCAGTAGCATGGTCCTATCACAAGAAGGAGAACACAATACTTAATTATCCTATCGGTAGGAGGAAAATCTCCAGGTAAAGTCAAAGGTCATTTGGAAGGTCAAGGCACTAAGGCATATTAGCATAGGGTGTGTATCTCCAGGCATAGATAGCTACCTGAACCCTGTTAGTGATCCTGTTTCCTTATCAGGAAAGAGTATGGCCTGTGATCTTCCTTGAGGGATATGTGATGTTCCTTACAAAATCTGGGGTCACCCAGATCAAGAACGGGCCTTCAGAAACTTGGTGAGAAAAGGGAATCTACCATTATGGACTGAGAGACGTCAGACTTCAACCTAATCCAGCAAAGCCCCACATCACAGGAGGCATGTCTCAGTAGAAACACATAGTCCAGTGGTGGCTGAGGGGTGATGTCAGGGCCCACTTGGGACAGCATCTTTGAAGACTGCCTGCTGGGTGAGTGGGAACTAGCAACTGAAACCCAACTCTGGGTAAAAGCTGTGTGATTTGTAAGAGTTCCAGGAAATGCAAAGTTTAAAGTGTGCCTCCGCGTGCTCCAATGTAACTGCTAGGCTATGCCAATTCCAGGCCTCCAGGTTTTCTACCGCAAGGTGAAGCCACTCGGGGAACTGTGAAATTGTATTCAAGGGGAAGACGTAATTATTATATTGACGGGGAGAAGGGGCTAAACTGGGAACTGCAGGAGGACAGCCTCAGGGAGACAGACATGAAGATCATCTCCTGAGGGCCGAGGACATGGCACAGCTAGTAACGAACACGCTGTGCAAGCCTGAGAACCTGAGCTCAGAGCCTCAGCACCCATTTAAAAAAGTCAGGCATGCAAGATGCATGTCAGTAAAGGCAGCTCTGGGGACACAGAACAGGAACATGCTAGCCAAACCATCTAGCCAAGCCTGTGAGCTCTGGGATAGTGAGGGGGTTTGTCTCAGAAAAATAACATGGAGGGGCTGGAGCAATGGCTCAGAAGTTAAGAGCACTTACTGCTTCTCCAGAGGACCCAGGTTCTGCTCCCAGCACCCACCTGGTGGCTGTCTCACACTTATCCTTAACTCTGGACCTCCTGTCTCAGCACCCTCTTCTGACCTTCACAGGCAACAGACATGCATGAGGTGCACATACAAACACACAGGCGAAACATTGATACAGATGAAATAATTCTAAGAAAAATAAATAAGATGAGATACCCACTGTCAAACTTTTGGTCTCCGAACACACGTGCACATGAACAGAACATACAGCTCACACATTCCACACATGAAGAAGAGGAAGGAGGAGGAGGAGGAGGAGGAGGAGGAGGAGGAGGAGGAGGAGGAGGAGAAGAAGAAGAAGAAGAAGAAGAAGAAGAAGAAGAAGAAGAAGAAGAAGAAGAA